AGTGCAACCAATGCAACCATTATTCTGCTCTCACTGGTATCAGGGAACAGATAGTAGTCACCTGAGTTATTCTGCTTACTTTCTTTGATACAGACTGTTGTTTTTTTTTCTTTTTATGAGAAACCTTATGATTTTTTTTCACTGAATTTCTTGCCAATTTTTCCTTCAATTTCAAGCTACTTAAACTCTCTGTCTTCTAAGCACTTGGCTGAAATCTGTTCAACAATGCACAGCAAAATATACTAAAAACTTATTATATCTGACATTGCATAAAAGCCACAAGAAATTGCAAACACTGCTTGACTTGCAAGGCAAAACACAAGGTGGCAAGGTTAAACTGTAATGCCGGAAAACATGTAAAACTCTTGGCAACACAGGTTTAATTTTTGTGTTTCATAACAAAACCTCCCAAAAGGTCAATTTTGTGCTGTCTGGGTTCATTGCAAATGCTACACATAACTCTATAGCTAATTTTCTACATGTGATTTCCATACTGCAAAGAATTTTTCATTTTATGGATGGTGACCTCTATCAAACTTACAATCCTAAAACTAAGAAATTCCCAAATCCATTTATGTCTGGTCTACATGAATAAATTGGCCACCACAGTGACTTTATTCCAGAACAATTATTCTGTTCACAATACTGAGTAGTACTCTAGAATAAAAAAAATGAATTTATGTCCAGAAGACAGTACTATCACAGAGCAGCAATAGTGGGGCTTCCTTGTAAAAGCAGAGACACCTGGAGCCTGGGAGGATGGGATCCTGTCTAGCTTCATAGTCTTTACAGAATTAGTTCCCATTCCACAACCCCAAATTGAGGTGGTAGAATAGGGCAGTCACGGAAACCATGATCAGGCAACTGATCTCCAGGAAAGTCTATAATGGCCAGAAGAGTCCAAAATCAAACCAGGAAGCTAACTGATCAAGGCCAGGTCAGGATCAGGAAAGTATATGGCTAGGGACAACACATCTTCACCACAGCGTGGGCAAGGACCAATATGAGGGCTGTGCCAAGGTGGGGTAGCCCCAGACAAAACTTCTCAGAGCTCATTCTCACAGTTAGCTTTTTTCCAAAGCCACATGGCTTTATGATATCAGAAGGGATGAGAATGCAGGGCCTGCTGGTGGGCTCAGTGTCCTGGCTACCAAGCTATGTTATAACAGCCATTGTGGAATATCTTGTTCAATGACAGGCACTTTCAATATCAAGGCTAAGTCTTACTTAGTAGCTAGATGACAATCTTGTAAAACTTTGCTTCTGCCACCCATTTAAAGAAGATGCTTCAGGGAAAAAGATTCTTTAGGTCAATGCTTGTAATTGTCTACTGCAAGAAGAATTTAATGTGCTATGCCTAATTCTTGCTTGTGTAACATGTGGCTGTGTTGCTGGATGTCAGCTGAATCAAGGACCTCTGCACCAGAGTCCTGGGCATCTCATCTAATAGTTAATATTAACTTATGCTATTAAGGGAAGTTTTAATTGGAATTGTGAAATTTCATTAAATTTTTAAAATCTGTTTTCTTAAGCAGTCTCAGAAGTTTCATTTTTATGTGAAACAGAAATAGCAGTACTTATGATTTCATCAACATTTTTAAAGTCTTGCTTTCTCACTGAAGATTTTACTAAAAAAAATAAAATCCACCTTCTAAATATATATTTTTTGTAACACAAAAGGATTTGTTACATATATATCAAGGATATGTTCAAACCATTGTGAATGATCCCATTGTCTTAACAAGTTGCCACCTGTCATCTGAGCTACTACAATAAAAGCTCATCTGTATGTTCCTTGCCCTTGCAAAAACAAAGTTAAACCAAAAAGGAAGTTTATGCTAATAGATTTTATTTGACAAATGCAACAGGCACAAGAATAGCACCTTGCATAGTCTCATATACTGTGGATGTCTGATAAGCAATAAATTGCCAACCTGTAGTAAATGAATTACTTGTGATTGTAATAACATACATGTATACTATTATGTAGGTTTGATTTTATCAGTGTATTGGAGTGTTATACTTATTCCAGACTCAGTAAGGAGACTTAGAGCAAGCTAATTATTCAAAAGCTTCTGAACATAAGAGTTCAAAAGTGTTTTGACATATTGATCCTTCCAGATTCACATTTTACTCTGGTTAAAGTTCTCATAAACAGATGTTTCACTGACTAAAGATTCAGGGGTATATTGTAAAGAGTAGTGTTATTTTGTCTCTGTTCTGTACTGCTTGAACAAGTGGTGCTCTCTTGTGTCAATAGTAAATATTTTTAAACAGAAGATTACTTTTAACTCATCAGTTTTGGAATATCTGAGTTGTTGACAGTGGCTTTCTAAATGCTTTCAACAGGAAAATACACAAATACCTACTGAAGTCCCTCAGAAAGGCTTTAAATGTATATGAATTTGCCCTTCCTAAAGTCCTGTGCTTTTGCTTAAATGGTTTAGGTATAGGCTTGTTTGTTTACATAGATAGGTGCCAAAACCTTAAAATTTGAGTCTGTCAAGGTGAGAGCTTCTAAACACCACAGAATCAACACTGCGGCAGGTTACTTTCATGATTCATGTATCTCCATGTGAGGAGAAGCAAGATATTTTAACAGCAGTGAAAAACAAAAATAACTGCTGGAAAACAAATATTTTACAGATGTAAATACTGGGAGGCTGAAGAATCAATATGTTTACTTCATCATTTTGTTGAGAATTCAGGACCAATCTGTCATATTTAAACCCAGAATACAATTTGTCATTCCAAAGCAATACTCACTTGCATGTCTTTTTTTTTTCTTTTTAGTTTTCCCTCTTTGGAAACTCTAGTATAATGCAATAATAATGTTCCTACAGATATTGTTTCTGACTGTAATAGATAAGTGGTGAGCTAACCACTTTAAAACAGCAGTTTTGTATCACTGACACTGTCAGATTTGATTCTAACATCTTAAATAGACATCTTCTTTTTGCTGTGTGTATAAATATATGCACATATATGTACTCACAAGCATATATAAGTAAACATATATTAACAGAGATACCATACTCTCTATACATTTATCTATATATACAATATACAGGCACACAAAATGAAGGGCATGGAAGATGAACACATACGTCCCCTTTATACACACAACTTTTGTAATACTAAGATAATGCTGATAAGATATATCTCATCACCAATGCAAACTCACAAATAATTAATCACTTAAAACATACAACATCTCATCACCTCTATGCTTGCTTTTTGTTGTGGTTGTTGTTGTTCTCTTTTCCTTTCCAACTTATATTAAGCTTGACCATACTTCAGAAGTTCTGCCTTCACAACTGTGGAAGTTGGAAACATGGTTTTATTTATTTATTTATTTATTGCTAATATAAGCCATAGACAATTATTATTATTATTATCTTTTTTTTTCAGAGATCTATGTAACTTTTCCATGGATGAGGAGAGAAGGAGCTAGATCATGTGTGACTTTACCTAATGTGATTCTTGCACCAGGAAGAGACTATTAGCCATCTTCATCTGTACTATATAAAGGAAGATATCTATCTGTAGCCACAGTTACACCAGTAAAAAGTAACAAAAATGTGATTGCATCTGTATGTCACATCACACTAGTTCTCTTGTTAGCTTTTTTTTTTTTTTTTTTTCCTAAAATGTGTAAGAATTTACATAAGAACTTATACTTCTTCATTCAGAGGGTGGCAAGGCACTGCAACAGGTTGCCCAGAGAGGTTGTGGATGCCCCATCCCTGGAGGTGTTCAAGGCCGGTTTGTGTGGGGCTTTGAGCAATCTGGTCTAGTGGGTGGCCTAGCCTAGGGCATGGGGGTTGGAACCAAATGGTCTTTAAGGTCCCTTCTAACCCAAGCCATTCTATGATTCTATAATTATATCTGCATAAATATGTCTATGTCAAAGGAGCAAAGCAAGAAGTGTCAGTAAATCATGAGGACTTCATACAGCTGTCAAATACATTGTTCACATCATGCTAATTAGAATATCAAAATCTCTGTCTCTTTTCTTTGTAAGGGGAACACCATATTTACATTAATATGGATTTTCTGTTTAAGTCTTCCTGATGGATCAGTAGAGTCCGACACTGCCTTGAAAGTACCTGCATATAAAAAGGCTTTGGGTTCTTTGGGAAAGAAAATATTACAGCTTATCTCTCTCCTTCAGTAACCAGCAAATAGCAATAATTCTGTAGTAAAGATAGAGCACTGGTGCCTAAGCTTTGATGATGAATCTCGTTTCTATGATTTCTTAATATAAAAAAAAAAAAAAAAGAACACTATTTTTAAATCACTGACATGGATGAGGTATTCACTTTTTTTTTGTTTTTTTGTTTGTTTGTTTGTTTGTTTGTTTGTTTTTTGTTTTGTTTTTCCAATAGCACATAAATCTACTGATTTAGAACAGTGTGCTTTATTCCAAACGGTAATTTGTTCAAAGAACTCCATCCCTATATTATTTATCCAGTTCCATGATTTTTAATCAGAACGCACATGCAGTAATTAACTGTGCCTGTTGGGAGAAAAGCATAATGTAAGTTAGCATCCATCAGAAAGAAGGTTGATGAGGCTAAGTGACAGAGCCCGGGTGTGCAACGTAAGTTGGGTTTAGGATAAGCAGACAGACCTGTTGATTTCTTTGCTGTTTACATTTTGCTCTGATGAACAGAAACTGTGAGTTAACTGAGTTTTCCTACCAGTACTATATTGAGTGACATATGCACATATACTAGCTAAAGGAAAGAAGACCAGACCTACTGAATTCAGAGAAGATGAAACAGTTATACCAGCCAATAGTTTTCATGTACAAAACATTAAATATGTACAGACATTGTAGGCTACTCAGAACTCCACTGAAACACCCACTTGAGAGTCTGTTGTATACCATGCAGAGGGAATAAAGACCTTAGACAGGGATATAAAACATATATATATATATATTTATATAAGCAAAACATTTCTTAAGCAAGTGACTTCTCAAGTTAATACTTTACCATAAATATTCTGTCTCTGAAATCTTCATTTTCCTCTCTGCATCAGCTTCCCCCCACTCCTGCCCTGAAACAGTCAGCCTGTGCTGCAGAATATATCCAGCTGAACTTCTGCACTTCCTTTTAATAAGGACAGATATGCAGGGAACCAGAGACTGAGTAATCAGTTTACCCAGCTAGAGACAGGGCACTCTCCTCTTCTGAGAAAAGCATGTTATTTGCTGAGGTAGAGATGGTATATCATCATTACTAGCATTATTTTAAACACTATTTTTTTTCTTCCCTAGTGTTTCCATTTCCCATGTATTTTACATTGCAAAGTTTCACGTTTACAATGGTAAGCATTCCATCCTACTTTGTAAAACTTCTTACACATTGTACTTATCCATGTTTTAAAACTGTGTAGTCTGACTTTACAATAAAGATCACCAATGATGAGTGACTCTGAATTGGAAACATTTTAAACAATTTTCTGAGCACAATGATGAGACCAGTGGGATAAATACACAAATATTTAACCACTTCCAGTAAGGATTTCATAATGGTCTCCTCTCTGAACAAGTGATTAAGTCAATTTGAATTCATTAGCTGTATTTATGCTGTCTGTTTCCTTAATACTGAATGAAAAATGTGTGGTGTAGAACTCTATGCTGAAGTCAAGCTCCAGGCATTCCTTAGGGACTTTTTCTGGTATCTCGAGAAGACAGCACAGAAGGGTGTAACCGTGGCAGCAATTTGAAATTTGCACCCTCTGGCAGATCCCTTTCCATCCACCCACACTGGAATCATCATTTCCCAAAGTAGACATGCCATCACACAAAGAATGATAAAGACACAGCAGCAAAGACCAATGATGGAGTATTGCGGGGTGAGAGGTGGGGGGGGTGGGGGAAGAGAAAGAGAAAAAATAAATAAAAACAACAACACACGTTATCCTCTGCCATTCAATACCAGAAACATTGTCTGGGAAATTAATTGCTCAAATGCCATAACTGTTCATTGATTGGTATTTAGGTGTGGCCTTAGCTATTTCTTATAAAAAGAATTGCAGCATAGTCTGCTATCAGATAAGCTCATGTGTATTTGTTAGTGGGAGGAAATCTGGGCTTGGTTGTCTCCTGGTTTATACTGAGAAAAGTCAAGCTATAGAAACAGGAAATTACATGACAGGGCACTGTATTTCTCTTTCCACCTCATGCCAATGACTAAAAAGTCAAAATTTGTGTGAGTTTCTGGAGTTAACTTACCCCACTCCTTGAAATGATGACATTATTGTTTTTCTACACTGTAAAATGGACAAAGTTTTGGATGCCCAAATGGTGAATGCTGGAGAACTGAGAGTTATTTAATAAAATAATGCTGGAGTTATTTTATGAAATTACACCAGCAGCTTACCTCTATTTAAATAAAAATAAAAATGAATAAATAAATAAAAACATTTAGATTTTCCAAACTGAGAGCTGTCTACCATTCTATCCTTATTTTCATTTGCATTACGTACTCTTTAAGTCTGGTCAAAGATTGTTTATTTTCTACATGTGAATCAAAAGTAGCACTTTTCACCCATGAGCTAAGAAAATCTCATTTATGCTGCTAGAAACGTATCTTCCAGTACTGGTTACTAAGCAGGTATAACAGAGTTAGGTTACCTAACATGCTACAGCATCTCTTCATATAAAAATGTCTGTGTTCATGGTGTTTTCAGTGTGGTGCTAATAACCCAGCTGTGGAAGCAACAATATTGGCTGCTTTGGATGCTGGTTTGCCCTGGCATGAAAAGCAGAGCCTGCACTCCTCTAATTTGAAACCCACAAAGTCCACTGAGATTCCAGTATTGATTCTTTAGTGTTAAAATAGAGTAGGACTAGAAGACTTCTACTTTTGTCAGACTCTGAAAAATAAGAATTTGAAATTATTTCTGTGCTGAATTCTCATTATCTACATCTATTTCCGCTTGTTTCACACTTAACACAATTTATTTCTATCATATATATGAAAAAATAATTGGTCTCTTAAGCATGTTTATGTGCTTATTCATGACAGAGAGATTACTTTATTTAGAATTTTTACAATAACTTTTATTGTTCTATCTAATCTCCTACTGAGATCAGTCAGGGTTTTACACCACATCCTCAAAAAAAGAAGCACAGAAATAAGCCCAGTTTTAAATGTCTGATAACTCATTACTGTGGTTGTCTATGCTCATAACTTCAGGGAATGAAATAATGATTTGTCATAGATATAGAGGCCACATTTCTTTTCAAGAGGCTTCCAGTGACAGAAACTTTCAACTATTGCTGTAAATATAGCACACTAATTTAAGCAGTATGTATGCTCTCATGTTGACCCCTATTCCGAGATAGCCTATTAATACCTTTTCTGGAGTTCCTGTCAGGCCCTTACAATGCAGTGGGTGGACAGCAGGTGGGCAGGGGTTGGGCATGCAGGAATGTGGCTTCATTCTCCAAAACCCACAACAGCCCAGCCCAGCCCAGCATAGCCCAGCACAGCCCACCAGGGCAAAGTGAAGCAGGAGCAACCCAGGAAGATGCAGAAATGCTGCAGTCTCCTGCCCAAGCTGCTGCCACGGCCCTCATTTCTTCTGGAAAGTGGAGTTCCTTTCTCCAGATGCATCCAGGATGCTTTGGTGCTGGATGTTTTAGTGAGACCATAGGAGCTGAAAGTACAAACTAATTTTTCGATATAAGCTGAAAAGCTTATTTTCTTAATCTTCCTTCTTTCTTCCATTGCAGAGAGACATGGCTTTATGGGTCAAACCCTGTGTGGGATTTGTGTGGTTATGGACTGTCTTTACGTCTTGGGTGCTGAATAGGACAGTACAGAAGAATGTTTGCATTTTAGGCTAAAGATGTCTTTCTCTTTCCCTAAAATGGGGTGTCTAAAAATAAAGGAGTGAGACAGTGTCATGTTGCCTGTTGCTGTAGCCAGCTTACTTTTATATTTTAAAGTAATATTTTCACAATACCTTGAGTTACTGTGTTACCATGCCAAAGCAGAGGAGTTCAGGGTAACTATCAACATTTCCGATTCCAGCTCTGGCTTTGTCTCTGCATACCTGTGAAGATGAAATCTCACTTTTTCAGAGAGCACATTGGAAGTGCCTGTTAGCCACTACCCTTGGCTTTGGGCAAGTATGTTCTGGTGTGTGACTTACAGTACAGTCATGAGAGGATCACTGAAAACACTCTGTGCTGGACTCTTCTTTTGTTTTTCAATGTTTTTACTAATCAGGGAGGGGGAAGGATAAGGAGCTTGATCTGACATCTGGAGCCTTTGTTTTATATTCCTACCCAAATAAGGTATATACTTTAGAAAACAGAAACAATTATTTACTTTAAGAGTCAAACAAAAGATGCTGGAGAAGGGGAGGAGGAAGAGGAAGGACAAAATTTTAATATGAACAAATACTATCAGTTATTTACTTGTATTTATGTCATCAAAGTATCAACACTGTGAATTAAGAAAATTCAGGATATCTTTCCTGAAATGTTTAATGATTCTTTTATACAGGTATGGAAAATACCTGATGCAAACAATGGAATTTTCTCCTTAACTACTTTTGTTTGCACAAATGTTAGTTATGAACGTATTTTAACTCAAGGGCTTGCACCAGAGATGTTGGAGGATGCATAGGCTCAGAACGAGGCGGGAGAGCCCCAGCTGTTCAGATGAGTTCCCAGCTGGCCGTCTGTGTGAACTTGGGAAAGGCACTCCACATCTGTTTTCTTCCCCCATTTCCTTTGCTTATCTAAGCAGTAGTCTCACTGTATGTAATGGGGTGCCTCCCGTTTGGCCTCCAGTTGTTGCAGCGGAACAAACTCCAGCTTCCTCTCTCCAACCCTTTGCTTTCATTTTCATCTTGTTTGTTTTCACATTTAGGAAAATGTGTCCCACTGATGCCCAAAAGTGTGTGCTCCTGGCTGGGCACCAATGTGATGACTGTCAGTGAACAGGGCAAAGAAGAAAGGTAGCTCTACTAATTATGTGTAAGCTTGGGACAAACTTGGCACCCCAGAATGCAGCTCTACCTCGAAGGTCCAGGGGACATCTGGCAACACCACCTGCTGGAGGTGTGTACTACGTGGCTTGTGCAAAGACTCAGGAACAAAGGGATTTCGTGGAAAGCAATTGCAAACCTCTCAGTGATCTGCGACTTTGCTGTATGCAAGTCCAGAGGGATACACTCTATCTTCAAAACTCTAATGCCACTGAGTTTCATCCTCTTACCCCTATCTACTCAAGCTTGAGAACTTGAGTAAGATGAAAGCATTTCAGAAGAACAGGACAGAGTAAAGTTTCCATTAATGCCTTGAATCCTTGCAATAACAAGGAATCCATTAGTGAGCCTCCATTAGTGAGCCTATAGCAAATAGATATGCCAGTCCTTTCTTTTAAACATTCCATGCAGTCAGTACAATTCCTTTCAGAAGCTGGATTAATATGTCCCTGTTATAAAACAGCATTTAAACTAATGGTGAGTTCTCTGACTTCATGTGAAGCAACAGCACATTGTGATCTTTAATTGCTTTCTCTGTTAAGAAATTTCCTCTTATTTCAGGATTGAATTTGTTTAACTTCAGCTTCCAATCACTGGAAAGTTTCTGACTTACAAAAAGAACAGCTTCCAGACACTGGCTGAAAGTTGAGGTTAGATAAATATACATTTGTCAGTAAGGCTGAAATGCCCCTGCCTAATTATTTTCAGTTTCTAAGCATAAGTACGTATACACTGTGATCAAGTTACTTTTCATCCTTCTTTTCATCTAACCTAACAGGTTGAGCTTATTTACCCCCTTATTTTTCAGTCCCTACTTTATTTGCCCATCTGTTATTGAATTCATTATAGTATTTCAAGCTGACATCGCATTTCAGTACTGATATGATGCAGTAACTATAACTCTAAGTGTAGTGGTCTCCTTACACAAAATAATGATGATTTTTATAACTGCTGATACCAAGACAACAACAACTTTTAGATCATTGATTACCTTTTAAATGTTTGTAAATAGCTAAACATTTAAATGTTGTTAAATATTTTCTCTATGCCTTATCTTCTGCTCTTCTGGTATCTCAGCAGGAGACAGAACTGAGTTTGGAGGA